AACATGTTGGACTTTCCGCGAAAGTCTCGCCTGCCAGTTGACCAAATGGTTCGACTACACTTCAAGCTGGATGAGCAACACCATTTGCTTGTGTGTAAATCCTCTCCGTCACCATCATATGCGATCTACGGTACAGACAGTTGGGAGTCAAAACGTCGGTATAATGGAGACCGCACGGAAGAACAATTGTATTAATGTGGCCTGACATACTTTTGACAACTCACTCGTTTTGTCAGCAGGATTCAGGTGGATTCCGCCGGTCCAAAGACGTTTGCTCTGGTGGTTCCCAGCCTTGGACAGTGGACTCATGAAGACTAGTTTAGCAGAGGACTTCGGACAAGGTGCATCCAACTGGGTGAGCTTGAAAGTACGACCAATTTACGATTGAATAGCTGTATTGTTTATTGCAGTAAACTGGCTGTATTCCACTATCCTGTATAGCGAAATAACACTATAAAGAGCTAATTTGTGCAGTCTGCAATATTTCACTATAACGAGATTTGAATTGTGCAAATGCGAAAATAAAAATAAATTATGCACCATTTTGCAATCGACTTTACTTTCAGTCTGGGCACCAAAATCATCACTTTCATGCAAGCTTTTCGAACCATGATTCTAAGATATTCTGAGGAAATGCTGAAAATGGTCAATTTGTCTATTTATGCAAAGTTTATATGACATTTTCATCTGCTCCACTCTTCTGGTGGGAAAAGCTGTTGCCGTCGGAACAGGACGAATTCTCAGTCAGGTAGATTTCACCGAACCGTCAGCCTCGTCGGCACATTCTGAAATCTCTTTATCGTCTGCACACTCTGCATCGTCAACAGCGTCAGTACCGTTGTTACCACCGAAAGCATTACATCATCTTTACAGACGTCATCACGACCGATGACATCCCTTAACCTGGTCACATTCAACAGTGTCAGTTACGTCGTTACCACCTACAGCTTCATTATCATCATCATCATCATCATCATCATCTTTAGCACTGCCAGCAGCGCAGATTCCAAAATGTCTCACTTTTGACGAAAGTATAATTTGAATCTCTGTCTTAGATGGAAAAGGGCAAGCAGTTTTTCTTGCCTTTGGCCGGTCCCTGGGAAGATTCACTTCCATCAACGGGATAAACACAATCTGCTCTCTACTTGTTGCAGCCAGTCCTTCCAAGGACTCATTTCGAAGAGGAAGGGAGCGCCTCCGATTCACACCAGGCAACTTCTGTAGTTAAGCAAAGCCTTAGTTCAACGAATGTGAGGACTTTGTACTTTTGTAAGAGTGCATTCTTCCGGGGACAGTCAACGTGTCTACCGCCAATGCGCTGATAGCGCTTGAGTGTCGCCTAAAAGCCTGGACCTCAGCT